TATTTAATAAGTAAATAAATGCAAGGTATATACCGTTTCCAAATGACAACAATTCAATGGCATACATGTATTATAAGAATATTATGAATATCTGAGCCAGAGGCAGAACAGAAACGTATGCGTGAAATGAAACTGCGCCCGAACTCCGAGAATAAAAGGGCAAATATTTCAAAGCATACGATCATGCGTTTTCATTGCTTGATTTGCTGACTTGTCTGTTGCTATATGAATCTGCAGTTTAGGATGTTTGTATAATTTAAAAGCAAACAGAAACCAAATTTAGCAAGCAGTTTGAAGTAATTATAATTCTCAAAGGTGATAGTACAGAACAGTCACTCCTTGCAATCGAAGCGTGAAGTGCGAAAGTGGTATCATGTAATATGAGATTTTACCCTCACCCTTAAAGGCACGTTTCTTTTGTAAATCTAGATTTGGATTCTTACGAATCAGATTTTTTGGAGTCGTTAAACCAATGGAACGAATTGTGAGAATCGGAATTCGCCTGCTGTTTTCCCGCCATTTTTACAATACGTTTTCTGTCCCACTATACCTTTCGGTCGGGTCAATGTACATGCTAGAAGGCCAAAAGCTCAAAAGGAACGTTGAATCTTAATCAAGTTTCAAACAGTGAGCTCCATATAGTATCTGGAGTAGGAACTTGGTTGCTCAAAGTGAAGCCAGTTTCGTGTTAACCGCGCATACGAAAACAATAGAAAGGGACTGGAACTGACGTCCAACAGCTCCTTCAATTTCCGCCATCTTGACAAGGAGTGTGTTGAAATTTCGTATTTTGACTTCGATTTAAAGAATAATATTGTGATTTTATGAACTGAAAACTTGATTAGTGATACGGTCTATTAGAAAAAACTGGAATTAGCTGGGGAAACTGGTATAAAAACTGTTTACGACCTTCAGAGCTATTGGACGTCAATGGCCGCCATTTTGGCTTCACTTGGCTTCACTCTTCTCATTCACCGAATGACTGAAGTTCTTACTCCAGATATATATAGAGCTCACTGGTTTCAAATTGAATCCGAAAAATACATATGTTGAGGTGGACTCATCAGATTCGAATCTATTCAAGATTTTGTCAAGTGAAACTGAAAGTCGATAATCGGATTTGAAAATTCAAATCCGGATTGCACTAAAGGAACGCTTTCTACGGCTATCCATTTTCTATGGGTCACGTGACCAGCTCCGGCCAGGGTCGTTTCTCCCTATGGTTTCTCCATAAGAGGGAAGAGCCTAGGAACGAGGTTGAATGCATTTAATGATATTTAAGACTATGTTCGCACAATATCGGACGAATACCCAAATTCGTTCAGTTCATTTGCTACACAGGAATTCCTAGGGTTAGCTGTGTTTGAGTTTGTCCAGTTTCATGTGTCCCATGTGAACGCATGAAGTGATAGTCGTGAAATTGTGAGTATGGTTCAGAATTCGTTCAGTTCCGTGTGAAGAAGGGTCGATTGGGTCATAATCATACCGATCGTGTCCAAAAGTAAATATTATAGTATCTATTAAATATTTTATTAAAATTTAATTATTAATTTTGATCAATTTTAAGGTGGCGTTTATAAACATTCCAACGCATCATTTTTATTCTCCCTACGCAACAAAGACAACCTTGCTCCATTTATTGCCAACATCAAGCAAGGTCAGGAGCAGGATGCAATCTACTGTCGCTCTGCTTATGGACCAACCTTTGGTGGAGGTAATGATCTGTACATTTCTAACAATGCACAAGTTAATCAATCACACAGTTACTTTGGATACACATACCAACTTCCTCCTGGTTATGTCGATTGCGGTGAACAAGCAAAGAGCCTTCTTGCTGGTCAGTACCAATTCTTAACGACAGAAATTCTTCAGTCTTCAACTGAAAAGTGCCTTTGTTTACTTACTTCAACGAAAAATAACATTACATTGATTATACGACCGGTCTTAGATGCAATCACTTTTGGACAGTGATTTTGCGATGTTATAAAGTATTAAGAATTAATATGAATATTCTGAGTCATGCACTGTAGGAATTTAAAAATTAAAATTGGTCGTTTGCCTCAACAGTAGCGGTTACTGGAGTCAACAAATGAAAGGCGTTGAAGAAAACTTGTGAAAAACCGATTGTTATACAGCCGACGGTATAACCAATTATCTAATCAACATATAGCCTAGGTAAATGTTCGAAAATTGGAAGAACATTTAATTTTCGATCGACCACTTTAAATCGGATTGCATCTGACCATTTTTCATCGCAATGACATAAAAACGATGTCATTTTGCAGCTAAAAGCCTATCTTTATTAGTGTGCGAAAAGTAAATCTTTAAACTTAGTATCTATAATATACGATAACATGCTGAAATTGTTTTACTTTTTTATATACACCCTGCACTATACATGTTGAATGGTTTTCGAGATTTCCATCTATAAAAAACCATTCAACATTTAATATCGACTGAGATGCCTGAAATCCTGATATTTCCCCATATACCTTACACTGGCATCACGTAGTATGTACTGTATACATGAACTTGTGGTTAAAACTCGACAAGTGGATTCTGTAGCTCAGTTGGTTAGAGCGCTGCACCGGAATCGCAGGGCCGCAGGTTTGATTCCTGTCAGAGGGCCTATATAGTTGCATTTTTTGCAGTTGCTCCTGGTTTGGTGTATAAACGTATAAAATTTACACTCGAGATTTCCATCTACAACAACCCTTCAACATTTAGTATCGAGTGAGGTGTCCAAAATCCTGTATTATATGTACCTTTTTTCCTTCATCATGATATAGTCGTAATCAATGACTTGTCAGTTTTCTCAGTAATTTTTGTATGTACATATTCAATTTATTATGAACATGGCCGCCGAGAGGTTGAGCCTGGGTTGGGTTAAAACTTTCCAAGGGGGGCCCTATGACGTCATAGTTGTAAAAGGGGAGAAGCGTGTTTTACAATATATCACACTTTATTACATATTATATACGAAAAGAATTTTGTGTTGGTATGTATATACAGTGACATAGCATTCCCTTGTAGAATTAACGAAACATAAAAAAACAGAGTTCAGTCAATCAATTTTAAGTGCTTGGCTTATTTACGGCGGTGTAGGGAAGGGTTAAGTATGGTATGGAATGAGCGTTAGTGAGTATGCTGGGCTGGTGGACGTAGTTGATATTTGGGGGTTGAGGACTTATATTCGGAGGTATATGAACGGTAATACAATTCGCGCTAAAATTCTTGTTTGGGCTTTTTTGAGACACCGATCAATGGCCATGCAACAGCAACAGGTCGTGCTAAGCAAATGTTTAATGATTTTCATTATTCAAACCCTTAGAAATGTATTGTCTTTATTAGCACAGCATGACCAGTTGCTATGGCTAGCTCGCCACTGGTAGGATGTAAATTCGCATTAATGTGAACATAGTAAGATCACCCCACCTCCATGTAAATATGGACTCTTAATTACATGGCAGACAATATATCACTTTACAGATTTAAATGCCAAGGCGTTAATGTTTACCCATATTAATGCGCAAGACCTTGACGAGTAAAATCGTCTGGCGTTGACAGGGTCAAATAATAAAGTCGGATCATTCGGGTAGCTTAATGGTTAATAAATAAAGCGTAAAACTAGAAGTTACGTACTATTTCCCCTCCCTCCGGCCAGCCAACAATTTTGAGAAAAAATAAGCAATTTAGTCCGTGTGTTGTGACCTTGAAAAGTGCCTAGAAAACGATTTTCATGATGCATGTCTTAGATCTGAAATACTTTTACGGGAACTAACACTTTCGAACACGCTGATTTCAAATCCGAAAAGTTCCCACTCCGTAGACCCGCAGTTTTTTCACAAAATGCTATTTTATCTTCACTAATTTCACAACTAATTTTTTCATTGTTCAAAGACACGGATCGATGACGATACACGATTATGTCACTCAAAAGGACCAATTTCTATTAACCATTCTTCCTTTAACTCTTTCTCGACATGTGACATTTTTCACGGCAAGCAATATTTTGATTCAACTGTTTTATAACGTAAATATTTCAGTGCGTATTCACCCCCCTTAAAAACAAAGAACACCATTGAAATCTTAACAAAATAAGCTTTTCATCGGG